AACAAGCTTACCTCATGTATGTGCTTCGTCTCAGCACGTAGACAGTCATTTGTCAATATTTCGTTAGCGTCGTTCAACAACTGATAACTCTTTGAGCCTCAAAGAAGAAAGTACCTCATTTTCAGATGGTATTTGTACCGGTGCACCCTGATGAGCAAAAGTTTGTTGACACAGCGTTAGAATTGGTGAAGTCGGCTGGAAGGGTGAGTTTCCTTGCATTCACAACTTTTTGCTATTTTAGTCTTCTTTTTTCTGTTTGTAGTGCGTATAACGCTTTATTTTGTACTTGGGAATATTTTTGGCCATTTGGCTTATCAATTATGTAAACAGAGAGCAAAACATAAAAATCACTGCTGAATTTTTATCGACTTGCACTTATCGCTACATCACACCAGGTGGTAAAATCGCATTAAGGAATTCTTTTGCTTATCTTCGATTTGTGCGCGCAATAAAAAAAGCTTGCGATAGCATTGAGTGTGTCGATACCTTACTGTTAAAGGCTTATTGCTTTCTTCTTCGGTAGTCTCATACAGTTCTTGCTTAGAGCGATTTTGTCTTACATATCATTTCTAAAAAAACGTTAGATCGCGCTTTTTGCACTCGTGCGTACAAATTTTGAAACTCTTGAAGATTTGTTTATTATGTGCTATTGAGCCGATAATCTTCTGGATTTCCAAAGGAATTTTTTTAAAATTTGGTATTGGCTTTGAATGAATGCTTTACAGCTTGTTCGTGATGCTTTCGATCAGCCATCAAGCAAAGTGAAAACCAAAGCATCTGCCACAGATTTGGTGACGGAAACCGATCAAGCCGTCGAGAAATTGTTAATTGAAGGATTGAAGAAGGCATTCCCTGATCACAAGTAGGCATTGCCATCATTTTTTTGTATCTATTAAGCTTTTAAAAATCCTCATGATTTTTGTTTGAAGATTCATTGGTGAAGAATCGACTGCAGGCGGTGCAAAAATAGAGTGGACGAACGCACCAACATGGATTATCGATCCTATAGATGGCACGACAAATTTTGTGCATCGGTGCGTTAGTTTACATTTCTAGATTTTTACAGTATTTTTGTTGGAAAATTGGTGTACCATTAACATTCTGATCTTCCTGACGATATCATTTCCAACTTCATCGTTTTTCAAGAAATGTTAGTCC